GATATTGATCTCATTAAAATTGTTTATTTTTAACTCCAAAATTTATATTTCCATATTTTTTTTAAACAAAATCCCCTTAAACAACAAATTTTTTCAACATAAACAAAAAATTCATTTTAAAACTAACAAATATCAAGTGTTTTCTCAGTACTCTTAGATGAAAGATAAAAGTTGTACAGAAAAGAAAATTTGTAATAATCATTTACCCAAAAAAAATTATTAAAAAATAACATCTAAAGAAAGCAGAAAAAAAGCAACACTTGTGTATCTTTTAAAGTGGATCACGTTTCCCCCTTCATTTGTGGTATTTTGTATTATTTGAACTCGTTTCAACGATAGAGTTTCATTTATTTTCTTATTTAAATCGATCAAAAATTTTTTTTTCTGGCACACACGCATTTTGAAAATTTTGGTTTATCTAATGGTGGATTCTTAAGAAGTGTTCCCAAAAATATACAAATAATTACAAATGTGTCAAGTATTTCGTCAACAGGCTGTGGTCTATTGGTTTAAAAAGTTGTTTCAAGTGATTTTTTTTTATTTTTTTTTTTTTTTTTTTTTGGTTTGCCACATATTGTAGCAAAGACTTTTAGCTATAATTCTGTAGGACCACCTAGTTTTTTGTAAAGAGTTTTAATATTTGAAACAGTTGGTTTTTGTTTTTTTAAGAACTATTAAGCGTAAATGTAACATATGGATTTTAAGTTCCCTAACCTTGTTAGATTTTTAAACCCTTTTGATGAAGGTTGGTTTGTTATCAAATATTTTTTTAAATTACAAACAAAAATTATGAATACATTTTTTCCAAAACTGAATTAGAACTGAAATAAAACTGAACTAGAACTGAACTGGAGCTGAACAAGAACTGAACTGGAACAGAACTAGTATTGAACTAGAACTGAACTAGAACTGAACTAGCACTGAACAGAACTGAACTAGAACTGAACTAGAACTGAACTAGAACCGAACTAGAACTGAACTAGAACTGAACTAGAACCGAACTAGAACTGAACTAGAAACTGAACTAGAACTGAACTAGAACTAACCTAGAACTGAACTAGAACTGAACTCGAACTGAACTAGAACTGAACTAGAACTGAATTCTAGAACTGAACTAGAACTGAACTAGAAACTGAACTAGAACTGAACTAGAACTGAACTAAGACTATAACTGAACTAGAACTGGAACTAGAACTGAACTAGGAACTGAACTAGAACTGAACTAGAACTGAACTAGAACTGAACTAGAACTGAACTAGAGAACTGAACTAGAACTGACCTAGAACTGAACCTAGACTGAACTAGAACTGGAACTCGAACTGAACTAGAACTGAACTAGAACTGACTAGAACTGAACTAGAACTGAACTAGAACTGAACTAGAACTGAACTAGAACTGAACTAGAACTGAACTAGAACTAACTAGAACTGAACTAGAACTGAACTAGAACTGAACTAGAACTGAACTAGAACTGAACTAGAACTGAACTAGAACTGAACTAGAACTGAACTAGAACTGAACTAGAACTGAACTAGAACTGAACTAGAACTGAACTAGAACTGAACTAGAACTGAACTAGAACTGAACTAGAACTGAACTAGAACTGAACTAGAACTGAACTAGAACTGAACTAGAACTGAACTAGAACTGAACTAGAACTGAACTAGAACTGAACTAGAACTGAATTAGAACTGAACTAGAACTGAACTAGAACTGAACTAGAACTGAACTAGAACTGAACTAGAACTGAACTAGAACTGAACTAGAACTGAACTAGAACTAAACTAGAACTGAACTAGAACTGAACTAGAACTGAACTAGAACTAGAACTAGAACTGAACTAGAACTAGAACTGAGATGGAACTGAACTAGAAACTGAACTAGAACTAAACTAGAACTTAACTAGAACTTAACTAGAACTGAACTAGAATTGAACTAGAACTGAACTAGAACTCAACTAGAACTGAACTAGAACTGAACTAGAACTGAACAAGAACTGAACAAGAACTGAACTAGAACTGAACTAGAACTAACTAGAACTGACTAGAACTGAACTCGGAACTGAACTAGAACTGAACTAGAAGGAACTAGCACTGAACTAGAACTGAATAGAACTGACTAGGAACTGTAACTAGAACTGACTAGAAACTGACTAGAACTGACAGAACTTGAACTAGAACTGAACTAGGAACTGTACTAGAACTGAACTAGAACTTACTATACTGAACTAGAACTGAACTAGAATGAACCTAGAACTGAACTGACTGAACTAGAACTGAACTAGAACTGAACTAGAACTGACTAGAACTGAACAGAACTGAACTAGAACTGAACTAGAAACTGAACTAGAACTGAAACTAGAACTGAACTAGAACTGAACTAGAACTGAACTAGAATGAACTAGAACTGAACTAGAACTGAACTAGAACTGAACTAGAACTGAACTAGAACTGAACTAGAACTGAACTAGAACTGAACTAGAACTGAACTAGAACTGAACTAGAACTGAACTAGAACTGAACTAGAACTGAACTAGAACTGAACTAGAACTGAACTAGGAACTGAACTCGAATAGACTGAACTAGAACTGAACTAGAACTGAACTAGAACTGAACTATACTGAACTATAACTGAACTAGAACTGAACTAGAACTGAACTAGAACTGAACTAGAACTGAACTAGAACTGAACTAGAACTAAACTAGAACTGAACTAGAACTGAACTAGAACTGAACTAGAACTAGAACTGAACTAGAACTAGAACTGAGCTGGAACTGAACTAGAACTGAACTAGAACTAAACTAGAACTTAACTAGAACTTAACTAGAACTGAACTAGAATTGAACTAGAACTGAACTAGAACTCAACTAGAACTGAACTAGAACTGAACTAGAACTGAACAAGAACTGAACAAGAACTGAACTAGAACTGAACTAGAACTGAACTAGAACTGAACTAGAACTGAACTAGAACTGAACTAGAACTGAACCAGAACTGAACTAGAACTGAACTAGAACTGAACTAGAACTGAACTAGAACTGAACTAGAACTGAACTGGAACTGTACTAGAACTGAACTAGAACTGAACTAGAACTGAACTAGAATTGAACTAGAACTGAACTAGAACTGAACTGAACTAGAACTGAACTAGAACTGAACTAGAACTGAACTAGAACTGAACTAGAACTGAATAGAACTGAACTAGAACTGAACTAGAACTGAACTAGAACTGAACTAGAACTGAACTAGAACTGAACTAGAACTTGAACTAGAACTGAACTAGAACTGAACTAGAATGAACTAGAATGAACTAGAACTGAACTAGACTGAAACTAGAACTGAACTAGAACTGAACTAGAACTGAACTAGAACTGAACTAGAAACTGAAACTAGAAACTGAACTAGAACTGAACTGAACTGAACTAGAACATGAAACTAGAAATGAACCTGAACTGAACTAGAACTGGAACTATACTGAACTAGAAATGAACTAGAACTGAACTAGAACTGAATAGAACTGAAACTATGAACTGAACTAGGAACTGAACTAGAACTGAACTAGAACTGAACTAGAACTTGTAACTAGAACTGAACCGAACTGAACTAGACTGAACTAGAACTGAATAGAACTGAACTAGAACTGAACTAGAACTGAACTAGAACTGAACTAGAACCTGCTAACTAGAACTAACTAGAACTGAACTTAGAACTGAACTAGACACTGAACTAGAACTTGAACTAGAACTTGAACTCGAACTGAACTAGAACTGAAACTAGAACTGAACTAGAACTGAACTAGAACTGAAACTAGAACTGAACTATAACCTGAACTAGAACTGAACTAGAAGCTGAACTAGAATGAACTAGAAACTGAACTAGAACTGAACTAGAACTGAACTAGAACGAAACTAGAACTGAACAGAAGAACTAGAACTGAACTAGAACTGAACTAGAAACTGAACTAGAACTGAACTAGAACTGAACTAGAACTGAAGAACTGAACTAGAACTGAACTAGAACTGAACTAGAACCGAACTAGAACTGAACTAGAAACTGAACTAGAACTGAACTAGAACTGAACTAGAACTGATCTAGAACTGAACTAGAATTGAACTAGAAATTGAACTAGAATTGAAACTAGAATTGAACTAGAACTGAACTAGAACGGAACTAGAACTGAACTAGAACTGAACTAGAACTGAACTAGAACTGAACTAGAACTGAACTAGAACTGAACTAGAACTGAACTAGAACTGAATTAGAAGTGAACTAGAACTGAACTAGAACCAAACTAGAACTGAACTAGAACTTAAAATTTCTCGAAAAATCTCCCAAAAAAAATGATAGCATATCGATCGATTTTCATTCATAGAAAAATTCGATTGACTATATTTCAATAGAGAGTAATTCAATCTCTCTCAATAAAAACAAAAGTTGCAACACTTTTTCTAATAAAGTGGAAATTTTTTATCATCATGGTTTCCTGACATCCTTGATATAAAATAGTCTGTATTGAAAAAAAATTCCAAAGAAAAAAACTCGTTAAATATATAAAATCATAATATGGTTACTTGAAACCATAATATGATTATATGAAACCATAATATGGTAACTTGAAACAATAATATGATTATTATTATACATATATTATATGATAACATGAAACCATAATATGGTTACTTGAATCTATAATATGATTACTTAAGACATCACATTATCATTAATAAAATAATATTATAATGAAATATTAGGAATATATTTAACCATAATATGATACTTTATTATACTAATAATATAATATTATTTTGATAGAGCTTAAAAAGCTCTATTAGTTATTGAATTTCAGAAAAGCTAAGAACAGTTCACAATAGATAGAAAATTGCTTTAAATATAATGCTAAGGAGGTACTGTTTGTATTTAAAGAATTTTAAAAAATTAAAATAGAATTATCGGCATTTATATTTTAATACATATTTCCCTTTTTCTTTTAGCATAAAATTCAACATGTCTAATTGCTGACTTTTAAG